ACCTTCTAAGTTCTTTAGCTCCAATGTATACATCTGAAGTAATTACAAAATGCAGATAGAGAACACTATCACAATCATTTTTTTCTGGCAAGCCAGATTTTTCAATTACAATTCCAATCGAAAATATAAAACTCATTTTAATGGTATGCTTTACGAGAAAAGGATATTTCTTCCGTGACATGATTTTTGAACTTCGGTTAGACAGTCATTGGCATAACAGAAAATCATAAATACCTATTATGGCTAAAACTGCCTTCCATAATTTAACATTTGTATCGTCTTATAAACAGTAAAACTTGAACGACATTTCAATTTCAAGATAGATACCTGAGGCTTTCATAATACCGATCTTTTCTACACGAAAATTACTTTCATCCAATACTGAACACGAGATTTAGAGCAATAATAAAAGAGAGTTTTAACTTACCTAGATGTCCAGCGAGTAATTCATCTTGTGCTTCCATCAAACTTTCCAATTCTTCATCGGTTAGCATTTCGACATTGATTCCTTCAACGTATTCGGAACCGTCTCGTTCTTCATCATCAGTTTCACTTTCTTCTCTCGTCAGTTTCACTCTTCATCATCGTCGGTCTCGCTTTCATCGTCGACTTCATTCTCATCGACTTCTTCCTGTTGCTCCTCTTCATCGGTTTCGTCTTCTTCGATATCTTTGAAAGCTTCATCGACTATTTTTTCAATATCTTCATCGTTGATATCCACGGGTACCTCGACATCACTGCCAAATTCTTCTTTTAAAGCTTCATCGACTTCTTTTTCGAAATCTTTATCGTTGATAACCTCTGGTAATGGTTGCTTGATCGATGATAATATATCCTTTTCATCGACCGGTCGCTGTGTTGTAGCAGCCGACGAGAGAGCGAGGAATGCCGCAGAGAGAAGTATTAAGACCAGCCTCATTCTTACAATGTATAGAAAAATCTAACAGTATTATAAGAAGTCTACCAATATGTTTGAGTTCTTTCATTTATGTTGAGAGACTTAAATACCCATCAGTCTCCCGGATTCACATGTGATATTTATTTATTGTTTATATTAACCCTTATCTGACACCGGATGTTCGACAATATGAGTATCTCTTTCCTAATTTCAGCCAATCAATGACAAGAAAATTTTACCAAGTTCCGTTATCACAATCTGAATATGAAGAGACTTATATTTAGTCTACACTATATTTTCTGGCGTTTTGGGAAAACACAGACATAATAAGTGATGAGTCGTAATAAATTTTTCCCTGAAATTTTGCTTTATATCCGGACATGGGCATATTCTCGTAGAATATTAATTACTATGGTAGTTAAATAAGATATGAGGATCTGTTATCGACCAAAGTTCAGTTTAAAAGCCAGATTATCTTTGTTTGTATACGAATATTGATTTTATGTTGATAAAACTCGGATTTTATTATTTCCTTTCTGACAATGGA